CATTTTCTGATCATTAACTCTGGTATTCCAGCGATAGAATCCTCTATGATTTTTTATAACTTCGACGTGGTTTAATTGAATAGCAAGCTTATCTCACTAGATCAGTTACAAGTGAGTCGTGCGTTCGATCCTTACAAGGCACTCCGTACTAGAGACTTTGTGCCATATTTAAGCTACGTTTTCGCTTCACTAAAAAATCATAGGTTTCAATGAAAAGACGTTTATTTAACAAATGGCTTCCACCTGAAAAGGAACCCTATCCTGTATTTCACGAAGGTAACATTTATTTGTGCATGTAGAAGAATGGTTAATAAAAGTAGCAATGATATTGATACTACGTATTTTCACTGTTGCTGAAATTATGCGAAATTACAAGTAGAAAAGAAAAAAAGTGTCCGACGTGACTCGGTAGGAAAATTCGTGGATAAAAAACAATGTTAATGAAGTGAATAAATCTGTCATAAATATTTCAATTACAACAATAAAGTTTTCTTTGACCAGGCAAAGATTATATAACCGACAAGCGCTTAGATAGTAGCGACTGAATTTGAGATAGAAACAAGGTCTTTTTACACAATTTACATTGTTCGGGCTGTTCTCAACTTTGTTTTCATATTCACGACGTTTCGGCCGTTGTACGCTCCGACCTTCTTCAGCTGATATATGTTGGAATTTCGAACCGAACAATTTATTTCGTCCACCGGAGTAGTTTGTTCTAGTTCCACTTGCCATGCCTTTTCCGGATATCCCAGTTTCAGGTAATTCTCATCTGCACCTTAACTCTCCAAGTTTTTGTTCACCTCTGCTGTAGCCAGGTATTGAACCCACAACTCTTTCAGTCAAGTCACTGGATTATGTCAACCAATGCTTTTATCCACTGGGCCATAGGACGTATATCACATGAAGAAGAACGGAGCGTACAACGGCTAAAATATTGTAAATATGAAAATAAATATAAGGGGAACAGTCCGAATAATGTAAATAGTGTAAATAGTTGCAATATATCATCTCAGAAATATAGAGAGGTGATGAAGAAAAAGTCGTTTAAAGTTTGTACAGAAGTATAAATATAAAAAAAAACACACTATTTTTGTCTAATATCACCTGACAAGTTTAGCTGTGATACAAAGTGTACAAAGAAATGTTTTTAGTCTCAACAGTTACGCCTAGCGGTGGTCTTCTTTCGTTTGGCCAACAATCATACAACATGTCTTCTTTCATTTAGTCAACAATTATATACTATGTTTTTTTCTTTCGTTCGCCCAACAATCATACGCTATGTCATCTTCATTCATTTCGCCAGCAATCATACACTATGTCTTCTTTCGTTTGGCCAACAATCATACACAATGTTTTCCTCTGTCGTTTGGCCAACAATCATAGACTATGTCTTGTTTCGTATGACCAACAATCATACAAACTTTGTTCTTCTTTCATTTGGTCAAAAATCATAGACTATGTCTTCTCCATTCGTTTGGCCAATAAACATACACGATGTCTTCTTTTGTTTGGTCAACAATCATACCCAATGTTTTCCTCTTTTCTTTGGATAGCAATCATGCACTATGTCTTCTATCGTTTGCCAACAGTCATAGAATATGTCTTCTTAGAATTAATGTTTAGTCCTTTCTTGTCGCTTTACTTCTTTACCTTCTGTAAGAGTTCTTGTAGTTTCCTTTCTGTGTCTGTTATCTTATGGCATCTTAAGTCTGTGGCCTTTATTTCGAATTTTGGTAGAATCTCTTAGAATCGCCTAATCGTACTTATATACCCTATATATAGTTTGAATATGTGCGTTGAGAAGACGCATGCGTATACCGGATTTAAATTTAATTTGGAAAAATTATTACCAGCAATAAAAATCTTGTCGGCATTAAATGACCCATTTCCGTGTCACGTGTATTTATTAAACTATATATTTACTTATTTTCGCCTGGATATTCGAGAAATTTGATTAAAGAAAAATATACGGGCAGCGCAATATATATATATATATATATATATATATATATATATATATATATGTGTGTGTGTGTGTGTGTGTGTGTGTGTGTGTGTGTGTGTGTGTTATCTGTTATATTCATATATATGAGTTCCTTTAAGCAGTATAAAAATAACGAAAAATGATAAAATCGGCAATCAGTTACTGAAATCTCCTGACGAGTGAACGGATAAATTCAAAATATGTTCGTTTATGAAACTCCGGAATTGAAGTGCTGAGTATAAGTAACAAATTTATAATATTATCCAAAATGCGTGTGTGTTGTGTGTGCCTGTGTGTAGGTGTGTGTACGCGTGTCTGTGTTACAGTCAGATCACTTTATTAGTGCTGCTGGTACTACAAACTCAGTACTACCTGCCGGGATGGTCGGGTTATTAATGACTAAACCGGTTTGCCCACCAGCGAGGAGAATGGCTTGACATCCAAAATCAGGACGAGACAGAAGGTGGAATAACACTTTCATTGCATCACCGCCCATCTAACAAATGCGCGGGGGTGTGGCTGTACAAATATACGGGCTGGAACCCTTAGTCTTCATTAAGGTATCCAGCCAGAAGAAAGGAATGTGACTCAGACCCCATGGCAAAATCCATTGATGTCGACTGGCTCGTGATAAGAGGATAGGATTGACCCCGTTCATGTATAGGCATTGTTTGATATCGTAAATCCAAACTGAGTCTTTCAGTGATATCTTACGAACGTCTTACTGAACAAGGAAGTGTCATCGTAGATACAGATTTTGTAAATATAGATAGTATGGACAGTGAATTCAACAATTCGAGTTTGATTGGCAGTTTCATCCCTCAAGCGATCAATAGTGATCATGATATGCCCCCCATATATATATATATATATATATATATATATATATATAAGATGAATGGTCAGATTTGAATCTGACCAGGAAAAAGTGGTATTATAAAAGTGCTCAATACACATGTGAAAATATAAAAGTAAAAATAACATGTAGACCTTTTAATTTAAAAAATCAGGAGGTCAGTTGTATCCGCTACGCTGGTTTTAACCTTACGGCATCCTCAGGCGATTTTTTTCAAATGGCCTCTTAACGCTTTTTTTAAAAAAAATAAAACTAATGAACGCAATATTAAGAAGAAGAAGAAGAAGAAGAAGAACTGCAGCCGACCAGAACAAGAAGATGAAATTAATTATCTACTATAAAAAAAAAAACATTCAAACAGCTAAACCTTTACAATCAACAATAACAACACACCGGAAAGATCCAAATGATAGAAAACAAATATTATTATTATTCACATGTCCCTTAAGAAATTGTTTTTATATTGGATATACCACTACTTGCCTATCGATAATGTCTAAAGGAATACCAGAAATCGCTCAGGGATGCAGAAGTTTAGAACAATGTTTACCCCCTTGTCCAGTAAAGTAAATACTTCTACGAACACAAGAAAAAATGATTCAAAAGCTTCATTTCATTATCTTGTTTGTCAGTCGTCATTATCGAAACATTCAGTTTCCATTTTATATTTATATCACCTATACTCCTCTAGTATTGAGCACTTTTTACCCATAAATATAGTATACCATATATATATATATATATATATATATATATATATATATATATATATATATATATATATAATAATAAATTAAAATGGTAATCCGTATGGAATTTCCAAGAAGATAAAGATCCAAGGAGAGCTCTATGACGGAGACAGAGTAAAATTTTTAATTAAAGAATATCAAACATTTAAAATAGCATAGATAATAATCTTTATTTCATGAAAGTGTAACAATAGCCTTTTAGTCTTTGAGACCCACAAACCAATATATATATATATATATATATATATATTTTTGGTTGCAGGTTTGAAAGAGTGAAGGATATATATATATATATATATATATATATATATATATATATATATATATATATATATATATATATGTGTGTGTGTGTGTGTGTGGGTGGGTGTGTGTGCGACGGAAAAATAATATCAGTATGTTATTTATTCCGTCGATGACTTTTGAAGATCATATTTTCCTTGTCAGCTTTGATCATTTTTGTTTGATTCCGATCCAATGGCTTCAATTACACATTTTCTGTTTGGATATCGCTTTCGGTATTCGCGCTTGCTTTTCGCTCTTTGATTTCAGTGAATCGCAGCCATTTTTGCATCTCTGCACTATATGTGTGTATTCTTTTCAGACCGCCACCCTCAACAGTGAAAAATCTTTAGCCTGCCACCCGCGTCTTATATTTAACCAGAAATAATACGTGACAATAAATATTTTGCAAACGTAAAGATAATTTGTTTAATTTAAAGATCACTTTTCATTTTAAATGTTTAAATTTGTTTTATGTCGGTAGTATTTTGTAAGTTACGGATAGATTACAATAATATCGTTTTGAATCTAAATTAGAAGTTCATATGTAAATAAATAAACTCTTAGTCTAATTATGATAAAAGATTTTAGGGGGTTTCGGGACTTTAATGTTACAATTCGTAATGTGATTTTTGGCACATTATGTCTCGGGTGATTACATTCGTACATCTGGGGACTAAAAGCAAAGAAAAACAACGAAAAGTCGGATGGTATCTAATGAAAATAGAGAAAAACAGAGGAAGATATTGCCATCGACGAATGAAGTTGAAAATCGTAGAATACAAGAACGGAAACGTTAAATAAACCAATGGAATAAAATGATTTTTAACTGTCAGCACCCTAACATTTTCCTTTTGAAAAGGTTTTCTACTGATCGATTTTTTCGGTTTATCAATCGTTTTCAGGTTATTTAAAACTAGAAAATATTTTTAGATTGTAAGGTTTTTTTTTTTTTTTTTTGAGATAATGTTTTACTCGTACAATTCCTATAAATTATTAACTCATAGCTGTGGTGGAAAAGGTGGATTCATATTTATGCGTAAGAGAATTTAACGAACCCAATTAGAGTTCGGCTCTCCAATTTCCAATTAAGATCCATTAACCATTAACCATGATCAGCACATCCAAGCTTACAGCAGATGGTCTACTCAAGCGATCACCCATCTAAGTACGGCCGAGGCTCGACGTTGCTTAACTTCAGTGGTCGTACAATAAGCAGTGTTTCAAAGTGATATGGCCGTAAGCTGAAAAAGGTATAAAAGAATTCTAGAGCACAGAGACATCCAAAAGAAACAAACGGCCATTTTGAAAATCACACAATATGAAATATATACATAGATATTAGCATATATTTTTATAACTATCTCCTGAATTTGTTTTCTTTCTTTCTCATGTAAAATATTATTTGACTACATAGAGATATATCCAACTGCTTCTAGATTTACTTGCATATATCAAGATAGGTAGGTGTAGATAGGAACACACGTTCTGCTTTGCCTGTGTGTGTGTCGATGGCTGAATGCGTACATTGAGGGTTTGGCATTGCGTGCCATGTCAACAACATTACACACAGGAAGATGTCAGTAATTTCTCACAGAAAGATAAATAGGTGGGAAGTTATTTTCTATAGAAAAGCAAACGGATTTCTAATTGGTTACCATTACTTCTATCGATTCTGTAGGCATGCATAACTAAATGTGCGGCACGAGTTAGCAGTCCGGATATTTGTAGGTTTCTAAATTAGATTCGCCGTCCTGGGTATGACGATAAACTACGTCCAGCAGCAAGGCCTCTGATCAGAATGTTTTGAGAAGCATGGAACCATCTCTTAATTGCTAGTGTTTCCAGGTCCAACCTGACCTGAGGTGGTAGCTCCTGTTAGGATCCCAGCTATGGGCAAATAGTTAACCCACAAATTGGAGTAAAAACACTATAAAAGTGTAAAAATATGTTTTAATACTAGAAATAATTTGTAAAAAAATGATTACCAGCAATAAATTTTAGAAGAAAAAAACTATTAGCAGCAATAATTTTCAAGAAAAAAAACCATTATTTTTTATAGAAAAATATTACCAAAAATAGATTTTTGATAAAACAAAATATTAACAGCAATAAAAAAATTTTCGGCAATACATAACCTATTAACAAATCAAAACTAACTAGGTTCGATCCCAACGGATGGATACGTAAGAATCGTTAGCAAGCTATTAGCACAATGGACAAACAAATGTATCTGGAATTATGACTTGTTCGTATTTATCAAACTTTGTTTATTGTTCGGATAGGGTTACGTATGCGATATCCTCACAGAAAATCTACAATAGTAATGATTATAGTGATTTTCCAAGCGTAGCTTAGATGTGGAACAAGGCCGAAAGTATGGGGCTCCCAGTGAGGATCGAACCCACTACTCAATCATAATTCTTCTAGCGAAACAAGCTTGATAACCACTACACCGCCATTGGGTGCCCCAGTAGTAATCATTATATATGTTGTTGAATAATACTGGTCTACAAAAAGTGACTATGGCTAATTTTAAACAATTTCATGGCGTTGAATTCGAAGATCCTAGTCTTTTTTCTCGTTTAGCTCGATTTCTTTTTTTTACTTCAAACGATCGGCAAATAAAGGAGAATTGCTTTTTTGATTTTCGCGAATGATCCACAGATTTGTCTCTCTTTTCAGACCCCAACAATAATCTACCATCATTCTTGTATCCCATCTCCCTTGATCCCTGTCTACCATGACTTTTATATCCCGATGAAAACTTTCTCGTTGTCCATCACTTATATCGTCACAGTTTTCTGGGACGTGTTTAAATAACTATGCAGGAAATGTAGTTTAGTTCTAATATTAGCACCAAGCTCCCAGTCTTTCATTATCATCCTGTCGACTAGTTTACTATAGTAGCCTTAACAAGAAAGTTTTTTTTTACGATAGCAACAAATGAAATGCAGTCAATTGATTAAGTAACATTCATAGAGTTGACAAAGTTTTCATCCCTGACGAGTTTTTGAATGTCATGTCCATTAAAAATACCTTGTTTCAGTTTTTTCTATGCTGAGATCAGGAAATATACTATAAATGTACTGAAAACATTAGCCTTTTTTGTCAAGTGATTTCACAAACTGTTTTATGAGCCCTAATTTAATATAGAGAGGAAGGAAGATGATTTTGTCTGGGTATTAGCAGATCAGTTATAACGATTTTCTCTCCAACTTTGATTTCTATTCTGACCGGCCATTCTCTTACTACCCAAGTGTTTATCCTTGCTCTTATAAACAAAAAAAAAGCGTGGGAACTGATTGCTGCCCAATTAAAAAGTTAACCATTTTCAGGTCATCAAAAATCATTCACTTATGATGAAAATAATTTATTCTTTCCATTCTTTCCTCCTTGATGGGTTCATGCTTTCCTTTCAGCATTGTGGAGTCTCCAAATGGTATCAATGCATATACATTGGTGCAGCAAAACAAATTTTAAACTATGCTTTGAGCTATCAATGAATAGTGTTCACGGATTTGCATCATAGTTATGAATACCAAGACGCAGCAAAATTCCGTCAGCATTGTTGCAATATATAAGTTCGTTGGTTTGATTGAAATAAGAGACAAATTCAGCATCTCTATAAAATGTCACTTTTGTTCCTTCCTTAAGCAGATTTTTCACCTTCACTCTTGAAGCTAAGAGTTCTGCCGATTCTTTTGATAAACTCAAATCCCTGATTAAATCTTTGAGCTCTTCTTAATAAAGCAGTATCGATTCAGATGATAATCCTTCAAATGAATTGTCATTGTCTCGCATGTCGACGAAATCATTCGCATCATTATAGTCCGATTCTTCAATGTCACTTGGCGTAAAAACTTTAAAGACAGGAATCGGGATTTCATCGGAGTGTGTTGCCGATCTGATAGCTGAAAAAAAGGCCAGTTCACAGAAATTCATTTCTTCTTGTTGAGGTCAGAAATGTGAATTAAGTAGAAAGAATAGTCGTCAATGTGATTTTGTGTCTCGCGCCAATTCATCGGAATACCAAACATGAGTTCGAGTACGCCTAGTTCATTGGCTTAAGTGCTTCTAACCTGTTTTGCAGCCAATATGTGGTGACCACGATTTGTCCTGATTGCCTAACTTCACTTCAAAGTAAACATGATGAACTTTCTTGACAAAATCATTGATCGTTTTTTCTGTTATTCATTGTTGTATACTCGCCTCATATATAACAGAAGACATTGGGATTGTTTTTGAATCCTCAGCTTGAAATCATTTCCTTTTGGTATTAACGCGTCTAAACCAAACTGTGATAATAATATTGTATTCGGATAAGAAGCAAAAGAAGACTAGAATTTTGTCCTTAATTTATATTTAACTCTACAACCTTCACCATAGGCCAGACTTACATCACCCAAAATAATTTACTAGAAGGCACAGAATCCCCAATATGCACTATATGCCAAGAGAAATTTACAGTGAAACATATAGTTAGAGTTTGTAGATTTTGATCTTGTGTGAGCAAAATATTACCAGATGAGTAATTAAAAAAAAAAAGAAAATTACGAAAATAAAACCATCCAAGATTGTAAATTTCCTAAAAGAAGTTGAATTGTACTCAAAAATATGAGTAATTGAAAAATGGTTCAAATACATATGTATACATACACACTTTTTCTTTACCAAACTGTCGCTATGAATCTATGATAGTTCAAAATTTTGTTGGCATTAAATGACCCACTGAGGTTGACATGCCATAAAACAAAACAATCAACCAACCATTTAACTCTACACATTACATATAAAATAAATTCAATAAAGTCTTACGAAACACAAAATTTATCTTATACAGTACAGATCATGTTCTAATTATGCGGTTATTGCAAAAATACACGCATAGACATACCACTGATAGGACTGTGAATCATTTGATGATGAATGGCCTTTTATAGTTTGAATACTGATGTACATATCTATACACATATAAATTTTATAAAAATGATCAGGTTATGGTATTTTTTATAGAGCCATCATTCATCATTGAGATCTCACATTACTTTTCATTAATAAAGATTCATTTGAATTGATTATGATTTTAGATTTTCATTTTCTAATGTCGAAACCGTGAATTCAATCGATGAAAAAGATGAAGTAAAATGAAAATTTCTGCCATTTTGGTACAGAGACAACGATAACGAATATGAAATAAATAGACGTCGTTTTCAGATTGGTCACCTTCAAATTGGCTAAGAAAGCGTGTTTCCATCCTTGCAACAAAATATTTCTTGACCGGTGTAATGCATGTCAGATAACATTGTGTCAGTTGGAAAGTCGAGTCAGCAAGCTCAAATTCGGGGTTAACCAGTTTACGTTCACTTTGGCTAAATACCTTTGGAAATGACACGAATCAATCTCCTCTACCGTTCAGCTAGACTATATACTTTAAACTAAATTCCGAATTTAACCATCTCTCATGGCAATTGATAGATAAAAAAAGGAGTCTGTGGACGGCCATAATCGCCTTCGTCCTAAATGAACATGGTATAAAAAATTCACCTTAAACAATGTTTTCTTTTATTTTGAATATATTTTATAATGCATCGACATTTATATAATGCCCATATAGTGGTAAACAGCTTTCTTTTTACAAATAACATATGACTGTCATGTGTTATATATATATATATGTGTGTGTGTGTGTGTGTGTGTGTTGGGGGTTTATGTATATATATATATATATGTATTAATATAAACACCTTTTTAGTTAGTGAATGCTAACTAATATAAAATGTGTAGTAAAAGTGGTCAACATTATACAAAGCTTAAACATAAAATTATAAAATATAAATGCATTAACTACTCGAGTTTCTTTCTTATTTGTCACGGATCGTCAGGATAGTTTATATTTTTATAATTATGGATTACGTTCCCATCCTTCGCATTTAAATAAGTGATGAAAGTCAATTTTAAATATCAATGCTTAATCTTTTTAAACTATATATTTTTCATCAGGATTGTACAGAGTCAAAAGCCAATAATCTATAATCAATATTATTACAATTATTTACATTATTGGTCTATTGTCCTCATCTTTGTCGCCATATTTATTACAACATTACGGCCGTTGTACGCTCCGGCCTAGAACAGTCTACCCAGTGAGCGAAATAAAGGGTTCGACATTCCAACCACCCGAAGAAGGCCGGAGCGTACAACGGCCGAAACGTTGTAATAAATATGGCGACAAAGATGAGG